TTATATAGACATTTCCCCAAAGACTCATACGGTTATAGGTGGGGCTTTTGAGAGGTGATTGGGTAATGCGAGTGTCATACTCACAAGTGGATTAGTCCATGATGATGTTATAACTAAATGTGCTATTAGAAGGTGGGGTTTGGTAGAAGTGGTAGGTTACTGGGGGCGTGGCCGGGAAGGGTATACAGTATCTCTCTCCTTGGCTCTTCCCTTTATGCTCTGTTTCCTGACTGACATGAGAAGCTTTTCCTTAACCACCTCCCAACCCCCTGCTGTTTCTTTTTCAGAGCCAGCCTACCATGCATTGCAATTTCTAGGAACTGTGAGCCAAAACAAACTTTTCCTCCTTTGAGCTGAGTTGCAGGTATTGGGATTTGTGTCTTAGTGACAAGAAAGTGACTGACACTGAGTCTAAGTTGGCCAGGCTGGGCTTGAACTTGTGATCCTTCTGCCTCAGCCTTCTAAAGTGCTTCAATCACAAGCATACACCATCAGGCACAGCTAAAAAAGATCATATTTACCAACTATTCTTTTGGTAGTTATTAATCTTTCACCATAAAAGTTTCCCTTTTCTTTATATTAACTATATGTGCACAGATTCCTGTTCTATTTAATAGATTATAATCCATTTCTTTTATTATTCATTTTCATGCTAACACTGTCCTGAATTTAACCAGTGGAAGTCTCTATAAAATGGTGGTAGCTAAGGGCCAGGGATATAGCTCGGTGGCACCACATCTGCCTGGCAAGTGCAGATGAGTTTGATCCCTGGTACCAGAAAAAAAGAATGCTAGTAGCATGAGCTTCTTCCTTTTTGGCCTAAGATGTTCCAAACTTCCAGGCTCAACTTGGACTTTCTGTCCTAATCCCGGAATTAACCACTCTCCAAGGAGTCCCAATTCTGGGTGTTTTCAGATAGTTAAGTGTGCAAGCAGAGCAAGTATGTGTATGTGTGGGGGAGCAAGAGGACAAGCACTTTGTTTAGGACAAGTTAATTTGAAACTTAAAAGGCCATCCAAATGAGATGTCAAATGGGCAGTTGGATAGGAATCAGGCACCCAAAAGAGAAGACTAGGCTAAAAGATTTAGGAATCCCTGATATTCAACGAAATTTAAGCCATGAGTTTGAATAAGAACATGGGAGCAAGCATATGTTGAGGAGAGCACAAAACCAAGTACTAGGGCATGAGCCATCTCCTCCAGGAGACTAAAAGACAGTCAGTCTAATGAGACTTTGTTTCAAAATAAAAAAAATAAAGGGCCAGAGACACAGCTCAGTGCAAAAATCCTGGGTTTGATTCCCAGTACGAAAGAATTAAAGAGAGAGAAGGAACAAAGGGAGGGAGAGAGGAAGGAAAAATCTGACAAATGAACTAGACTAAAGAGAAATTTTTAATGAGGGGGAAGGAAAACCAAGAGAGCATCTAAGGGCACAAAAGCTAAGGGGAAAAAAAGGATATGGAAGAGGATCAACTGAACTAAATATTGCTGAATGGTCACATAAGATGACTGAGAACTGCCCACCTCTTAGCAAGGTTAAATATAAGAACACAAGCTCCACAAGGGCAAAGACATTTATCCGTTTTGTTCAGTAACATATTCCACATGCTCAGAACAAGTCCTGGCCCAGCATCAGCACTCAACAAACTGTTGAGTGAAAAGAAAACATACAAATAAGCAACAGGAATAAGAAAACGTGTTCTACAGTACAAATCAAAACTACAATGAAATATTACCTCACACTTGTTAAGAAGGCTATTATCAGAAAAGCTGTTAAAAACAAATGTTTGGGCTGGAGATATAGCTCAATGGTAGAGTGCTTGCCTAGTGTGAGCCTTGGATTTGATACCCAGTACCACAAAAAAAAACACAAGACAACAACAAAAATATTGGTGAGGATATGGACAAAGTGAAACCTTGGTACACTGTTTTGGTAGAAAATAATAGTCATTATTGAAAACAATACGGAAGTTCTTTAAAAAATTAATATAACTACCACATGGTTCAGCCATCCCACTTATATTTATCCAAAAAATTGAAACCAAGATTTCAAAGAGATATTCAAATACCCGTGCTCATTGCAGCCCTATTCACAGTAGCCAACATCTAGAAACAATCTAGGGCCAAGGACTTAGCTCAGTGGTTCTGCCACCTGCCTCAAAAGCGCAAGGTCCTGCCTGAGTTCAATCCTGGTACAAAAAAAAAAGAAACAATCTAAATGCCCATCAACACATGAATGGCTTAAAAAGAAGGAAATTCCCCGGTACCATAAAAAAAAAAAAAAAAAAAAAAAGAAGGAAATTACATAACATGGGAAAACAAGGATGAACCTTGAGGACATTATGCAAAATAAGTCATATGAAGACAATATTCCTTGATTCCATCTAAAAGAAGTATCTGAAACAGTAGTCAAATTCATAGAATCAAAAAGTAGAGGCCAGGGATTTAGCTCAGTGGTTTTGCTGCCTGCTACGCAAGCGCAAGGACCCAAGTTCGATTCCTGGCACCAAAAAAAAAAAAAAAGTAGAAGGGCTGGGGATATAGCTCAGGGGCCTGCCTGACAAGCGCAAGGTCCTGAGTTTGATTCCTGGTACTGAGAAAAAAAAAAAGTAGAATAGTACTTACCAGGGGCTGAGAGGAGGAGGAAATAGGGAATTACCAAACAATGACAGGAAGTTTCAGATAAGCAAAATGAATATATTCTAGAGATCTTCTGCATAACATTGTACCTACAGTCAACAATGCTACATTATACACTTAAATTCTGTGAAGAGTGTAGAGTTCATGTTAAGTATTCTTAACATACACACACAAATCTGTGCAATGAATGAATGAATATGGAAGTTACTGGACACCTTAACAAAAACTTTTGATGGAGTTACTGTGAAAAAAACTCTATTTGATGTGCATTTGAAAGATGTAGGAGAGAAGGAAATAAGGACAGTGAGCATAAGTAACTCTTCTGAGGAATTCTTTTGGGAAGGAAAGAAGAGAAATAATGGCTCTTGCTTGCTGGAAAAGCAGAGGGATAAAAAGACTTTTTAAGATGGAAAAACAAAAGTATGTTTTTGTAGGGAACAATTCATTAAAGAGAAAAACTGATGTGAAAGACAAAACAGAGACTTCTGAGAACAATGTCCTTGAGCAGGTCAGAGGATGAACTCTACTAAAAGACAGGATAATTCATCTTTAGTTAACAGTGGGAAAGCTGGATTATGTAGGTCCAGATGCTAATAGTAAGGATGTGGTAGGAGAACCTAGTGAAAATAGGCTATTAAACAAATATAAGATGGAGGAAGAGGTTTGAGGCAAGCAGAAGGTATAAGACAATTAGGAAAGGAAGAGACTGAATGGACTGGGTAAATAGTAATGCAACTATAAGCCACAGTTATGAAGTAATTTGCAAAGACATCATAAATTTTTGTCAACTTATCAGAACATCAGGAAAATGTCCTTAGTCGTACCTTTTTTTCTTAAGTGCCTCGCTATAACATACTATCTATATAAAGTCTGTAAGTTTCATTTTAGTTTTTTACCTTATACCTTTTGTATATTGTTTGAGTTGTTCAAACTCTCATCATGTTTTCTTTCAAAAATAATACAGTACTGTGTTAATTCAGTCTCCTACTTATAGCAGCATGGCACCTTCCATGGCAAATGCAAGGGCCTGAGTTCGATTTCCGATACAAAAAAAAAAGTTCACCTCTAAATATAATTCTTTTTTTTTTTCCTTTTTCCCACTCCTGGTCTGGGTTTGTTGTTTTGGAGGCTTTTTCCTTTGCACCCCACCCCCTCCATAAGTAAAAAAGATTGGAAGAACCACAGTAAAAACAGTCTCATTCTAAATTTTAAATTTAAAGGTTTTGAGAATAAATAAGTTGTATAGTTTGTTAATGTTTTTTGATTGACTCTGATATGTTGTATGCTCTGTTCTCTCTCATTTCTGGTTGATAAACATTGCTTTCAAAAAAACTACAATCCACTTATTATGTCACAGTGAATGACTTCTACAGCAATGCTCATCAAGGTCTGCCTTCCTGCTTGCTTTCTCTCTTTCTCTCTCCTTCCTTCTTTCCTTCTTGAGTTAAGGTCTTTATGTAATTCAAGCTGGCCTTGAACTATGTAGCAGAGGCTAGCCTTGGACTCATGGTGATCCTCTTGCCTCAGCCTTCAGAATGTTGGGATTATAGCATATGCCACCATGCCTGGCTCTAACGTTTATCAAAATTTAATGTGCATACAAATTACCTGGGGATCTTGTTAAAATGAGAATGTGATTCAGTGAATCAGGTGGGGCCTGGGTTTCTGCATTTTATTATAAACTTCCAGGTGATGCCAGTGCCCCTGGAATGTGAATGTTTAGGAGAGGAAGGAAGGGTCTATGGACAGTTTCATTTTCATTTTCATTTGTAAAACCGTCTACTCTTTGGAGACAGAATTATAAAGTAAGTTTTCAATTATTCACCACTGCTTTATGTATACTATAAATTAAACACAAACTTCCTTGTTTTTAAAAATAGTCCATTCTTGCTTACTGCCTAGAAGTGTATAAATAGGGAATAAAATCTAACACAAAGCAAATTCTCCAAATATAGTAATTTCAAATATCAAACACCTACATTATTCGCTTCCTTGTACCAATCTAGAAAATGGTTAGAAAAATGTAATCAGATATATGCTGCTTTAAAAAAGAAATCTGAGATTTAGATCTTTTATTGGACTGCACAATTATTCTACAATTTATTTTTTTAAAAAGACAATGATTAAATAAATATACTTCAAGAGTCCTTGTATTTTTTTTCCTCAAATTTTTACTGAACTGTTTGAGAAATAAGTCTTGGAATCTATATCAATGTTTATAAATTCAACTTGATTTATATTCTGCTTCTTTTAAAAGTAATAATGGGTAGCTGTAATGCTATCTGTATTTGTCCGTATTTGTTTAAATCAACTGGGAAAAAATTACAGAAGATATCTTGAAAATGATTACATGACTTTACCTGCTCCTAGATGTTTAGAAATTATAGCTTTAGCCAATATTGTGCCCAGTAGTTTTGAAACTGAAATCCGCACATCATAATTGGAACCTTCAAAAGACTTAAAACATAGAGTGGCCACACTGTCCAGGTCTGTACTCCACATAAAGGTGGCCTCTTTCTGAAGCTCAAGAAGACACTATTTGATTAGAGAAACAGAAATTAATGAAAAATAAAATACAGTGCTAGGCTCAATCTGTATAAATTGTAGAAATTATGAGTCTGAGAAATACACAATTTTATTATTTTAAAAGTGTTATTTGTATATATTAATTTCAACACCATACAATTCACTGGGTCAATAAGAAGATTATGAGGATTAAATGAAATTACATGTAAATGTGCCTAAGACAAAGCTTGCCTGTCATTAATCATTCAATAAATTACTGCTAAAATATGAGGTTATACAATAAGAAAGCAGGGTCTGCTATCAGGTACAAAGTATCTATATAATGACTGTAGAAATAACAAATGAATACTTACTAAAAGCCATAAAGATTATACTATATAAAACCACAAAAGGTGGGAAGAGTAACCACTTGTAACTCAGTAGCTTATGAAAATGCCTTTACAATAAATCTGTTGGCTATGAGCAAACGTGAGAATAATTCCAACATTAAACACACACACACACAAACACACACACACACACTCTTTAATGTACTACCAAATCAACTATGTTAAGAAGCCAAGATTAAAAACAAAAATAAAATAATTTCAAAATGTAAACCTTATATATAAACTTTAGTTTACCTATATATGGAGAGGGAGAATAGTAGAGTAGAATAAATACCTAAAAAGAACCTAAGCCCTTAACTTCCCACCCTCTGACAATCTGTTACTAACTGCTTGAACCTTGGGAAATCCATATAACTCTCTGGGCCTTACTTTTCTCATATGTTAAAATGAGACAGTCCTAGCTGATTACCAAAGCTGAAACTCTAACAATCATGTAGCTGTTATTAATACTTTTACAGAGATTATCCAATTTACTTTTCTTTATATTAATTGTCATTGGATATTTTACCTTTGCAGCAGCACAACGCACAGCCATGGATCTATCTGTCAAGCAGGATCTAGCAGCTTTATAAATATCCCTGTGGCAAGATGTGGCAGCAGCTCCTAGCCCATTCAAAATATTTTGAAGACTCAGCATAATCTCATATCGCCCTTGAGACTACCAAAAGGAAAAGAAAAATTCAAAGAAGAATAGGAAAAAAAATCCACTGTGAATATTGCAGGAAGCACTGATATTTATCTCACATATTACAAAAATACTTGTTTTTGTCCATATTAATCAAGCCATTCTGACATCAAAAAAACCAATAATTCTATTTACTACTTGAAAAGTGTTATTTGTATATGTAACATTTCAAAATCATACAATTCACTGGGTTAATGTGAAGATCAAATGAAATTACATGGCAAGTGCCTACCACAGAGCTTGTATACCATTAAGAATTTAATAAATGGCTACTATAATAAAAGATAACATAGTAAGAATGCAGGGTTAGCTACCTACTAGCTACATAATGTTGGGAAAATCTATAAAATGGAGGCAATAGAAACCAACTCATAGTCTGTTTATAATGAACAAATGGGTTAATAAATGTGAAGTTCTTAGAATAACAAACATAAAGCAAAAATTCAATAGATTTAGCAGCTATTAATACTCTATCAGGTGGTATAATTTAATTCAGAATTTAAAAAGACTCAAGTTTAAATCTTGTCTCTCAGTAGCTGTATGACTTTTAAGTTGTTCTTATAATTTCCTCATCTATAAAATGAGACTAAGATGAGGGTCACAGAACTAGTGGAAGAAATAAATACGCTTTTGAGGATAAGACATTCACTACTGCATCTGATGTACAGTAAATAAGCAAGAAATTAAGCTGCTTGTGCTTGTATTACTGATGTTTTATTAAATGCCCAAAATAATTTTTATATCCCTAGAAGTTAAGGTCACTGAAACTGGAACAAGACAAAAGATCAGTAGCAAGCATCACTTTCATAGTAACATTATTTTTGTTTAAAGGAGCACAAAAGGGAGGAGCTTGGAGGGGATGGGATAAAACTTATTTAAAAAAGAAAGAAAAATAAAGAAGCACAATAGTCATAGGTGGACATAATAAAATGATTGCTATTAGAAAACTTCTGAACTCTCTTTTATCAGTTTCAAATGTTGTGTATCACTGAAGAGTATGGGTAAAAGTAGGAATTCCTTTCGATATCAATGAAATGGTATAGTACCTGAGCAACTAAAACACAAAGGTAAAAAAATAAGTAATAAAATACTCAACTTTAAATTTTTTGATACAAGCAGAATAATTGTCTATTAACCACGTGGCCTAAAAAGCAGTATTGCTCAATCAATGGAGATAAAAGGGAGAAAAATGTTTTAAATGGCTATACCCCAGTAAATAAAAGTTTTTATAGACATCCACTTTTTAAGAAAACAATTTATACTTATTAAAAAAAAAATCTCTGGGGCTGGGGATTTAGCTCAGTGTTTCTGCTTCCTGCCTTGCAAAAGCAAAGGTTCCGAGTTCCATCTCCGGTACCAAAAAAAAAAAATCTCTTCTGAATCATCTTCGATCTTTCAGGAAACTACTGCTGAGAAGTGATCTACTCAGCAGATTCCCTTACTGGTTATGACTTGACATTGTGAATTAGTTACATACTTTTTTTTTTTGGTACCAGGGATCTAACTCAGGACCTTGAGCTTTTGAGGCAGGTGGCAGCACCACTGAGTTAAATCCCCAGCCCAGTTATATACTTTTTGAAATTTAACAGCTTATAGTTTTTTCATGTTCTGTCTTGTTACATGCCAAAAAATGTACTACTAAGAAGCATGTCTATAAACTATTTCTAGACTATTCTTCATAAGGCAGGAAGAGTAACAGATGTGGGGGTTTTTTATATTTAAAGGTGCTGAGTTACCTTTATATATTAGGAGTCACAGATTTAAATTTTTTGAAATATGTGTAACATAATGTCAAAAGTGGTGAAACAACAGTCATCAAGAGATTGGAGTATCTTGCAAATTAAATGACAAGACAAGTCTTAAAACAATGCTACAGGGAAGTAAATGATGCAAACTCATCAATGAGGACAAGGCTAAGGATATACTCCCATGGCAATTAAAAGGTCACCTAATTCCTCTATGCCTTTTCTTCTTGACAATATTCTTTATTCCTTTCTAATGCTGGTATAGCAATTAATCCATTCACTAGGTTTATATTAGTTACCAAATACAAAGTCTCCAGTAATAACTACTTGCTCTGGTACAAGTAAATAAGTAGTATTAAATGGAAAAGGTGGGGGGCTGAGGATTTAGCTCAGTGGTTCCACCACCTGCCTCCCAAGTGCAAGGTCCTGAGTTCAATCCCTGGTACCAAAAAAATAAAAGGAAAAGGTGGAGTAAAAGGAAGAAGTAGAGATGGATCTGTTCAATGGAATAGCTTCTGCACAACAGGATTTATATGAACATACAAAGTTCTGTACTATTACTTTTATAATAAGGGTTCAATATACAGAGTATATACTATGCATAATTTAGAAATATTTAATTTATAGATATATAAAGATAAAAGAAAAAATTTAGATATATTTACATAGGCATCTATGCATGCTTGTAGTACATAAAGCTCTTTTATTAGCTGAAGAAAGCATAAATCTATAAAATGCTATCATGTTGCTATTATTTAGTTAAACTTATAGTTACTTACCTCTGCACTCTTCATAGCTTTAAGAATATTTCCCACTGTATCATTAAAGGTGTTACCAAGTATTCTACCCAATTTCTTGTACAAGGAACCCAAACATACCACAGCAGCACTGAAATGACATTTAAATTACAAATTAGTCATGGCTGGAAAAAAAAGGAATAAGAGAAATCTTATATAAAATTGACTTAAAATTTTCCTCCCATTCTATTGTTTGTTTTTACTTTCAAGGGAGCATTTTTTGAAACACAAATGTTTTCAATTGTCATAAAGTGTCATTTATATCTAACAAAAGATTGCCTAATCCAAGGCCACAGGTATTTAATATGCTTTTCTTCCCTAAAGTTTTACAGTTTTAGCTATAACATTTAGACCTATTATCCATTTTGAGTTAATTTTGTGTATATGGCATGATGGAAGGGTTCAATTTCACTCTTTTGTATATGAATATCCAGTTGCCCCAGGATTATATATTGATGCCAGCGACTAATTTTACTTTGAAAAGATAAAATTTCCAAGAATCTACTCTATTAAATCATGAGGCATGATACTTAGATGAAAATGAAATAATATTTTTAATAAGAATTTTAAATGGATAAACAGATGTTCAATTAATCTTAATCTTAGCTCAGATTCTACCCCCTCAAATTTGTTACAAGACAAAATTCTGCAAAATTATTTTAATATAATTTCATATTAGATAATCAAGAACAGACTTTAAAGAACAGACTTTAACATAAAAGAAAAACAAATAATATTACCAAGTTTTAAATTTGAAAACTTTATGGAAGAATACAGTCTACTGTAAGCTAAATATTAGATCAACAAAAATATCTATATACAATTACTATCATGGAACCATTCATGGCTCAATACCTTCTCTGAAATAACAGGTGATAAAATGGTCAGAATCCTATGAAGAAAGAAGCTAAGCTGTTTTTAGAATCTTAGAAGGGTGGGCTGGGGATTTAGCTCAGTGGTTTCGCCATCTGCTGTGCAAGCGCAAGGAACCAAGTTTGATCCCCAGTACCAAAAAAAAAGAATCTTAGAAGGGTACTTTTCTATTTATTATCAATTTTCACTAATAGAAACTAAAAAATGGCAAACATCCAAAATTTGAATTATTTATCTTATATATTTTAAACATTTAACTGCTAAAAATCTTAAGATTTTTGAATCCCCAAATACAGCTAAAATATTTTTTAAAAGACTTTTTCAGTCAAGGGAAAAATGGTATTTTTTTTTTAAGTGATTAAAAAAATGAGTTAAACTGAATGTGTATCCAGTTTCAAAATAACTGCCAAGTAGGCTATGTACTTTATAAAAATCACACAATTAAGGAAGCAATACTGTTTTCTTTTTCTTTTTCTTTCTTAGTCAGGGTCTCGCTCTGTAGTACAGGCTATCCCTGAGCTCACTATGTAGCCTAGGCTGGCCTTGAACTTGTGGGAATCCTCCTGCCTTTGCTTCCTGAGTGCTGGGATTACAGGTGTGCACCACAATGCCCAGCTTCTGCTCAGTTTTAATGTTCAACTTACAGTTTGGTGGGAAGATAACTTGGAGAATCATCTTTGCTACGAATAAGATCATTACATTTATCAATTGTTTCATAAACAGAGAATGTATCTCCAATACTATAAAGTATGGCTAGATTCTTTGCAAGGAGTTTGCGAGTAGGAGGCCCCAGAGAACTGTTTAACAAAGACAGGAGCTGTTCAACAAGGATCTTCTGTTTCTCCTTTAAATCATTCTGGAAAGAAAGGTGACATAAAGGCAATTCAAAGTCAACCTAATTATATGTAATTCTCAAATTTTTCTTTCATTTATTTAAGAACTAAAGACTCTAGGAAAATACTGTACAAAATTATTTTGAATAAAAGCTACAAATAAATTGATGGTAAGGACATTTATCAACAAGTAGCTGTCTTTCTGATTATCTCCAAAAAATAAATGCTGAATCACAATATGCCAATCTCTGTTAACAAAGACAAGGATCTGGGCCGGGGATTTAGCTCAGTGGCACCATGACTGCCTCGCAAGCACAAGGTCCTGAGTGCGATCCCTGGTACCAAAAAAAAAAAAAAAAAAAGGACAAGTATGCTATTTCTTCTAAATCTTTCTTTATATATTTGAAGGATAGAATAAATTTGCATTTTTAACTAGAGCTATCTCCTCCAAATATATCTGCATAAAGCAGTAATCTATAATAAGAACTAATCTTATAATGGTTTCCTGTTTTATACAGTTTTTTTCTAAATTTATTGCAATTTTTTTGCAATATTACTATATATATAATTATTATATGCAATGTTAATACATTTTACTTGTCTAACCTCTGGAAAAAAGAGTAGATTATGTCATTAGAAAGCTACTGGTATTCAGATGTTTACTGAGTCCTAATTCTACAAAGAAATTAGTATACAGAATTTGTCTTTGGTTAAATTTATTTTTCAAATGCAGAAGTTGCTTTTATTCTTTCTTCTCTTGAAAATCAGCAAACTTTTTTTTTTTGGTACCGGGGATTGAACTCGGGTCCTTGCACTTGCGCAGCAGGAGACGAAACCACTGAGCTAAATCTCCAGCGAAAATCAGCAAACTTGACAAATGTCTTACACCATGGGAACTAGTCAACCCCGTCTCACAACAAGAATGTGTTCTGTAATGCTGCTGTTTCTTCTTTGTCTTTTGACAAAAATCTGTCTTTTGTTAAGTTCTAAATTTCTCCACAGAGTAGGGTTTTGTTTGGCAGTGTTGGCAGGCCCTAACATGGGGTCGTGTGTGTGTGTGTATGTGTGTGTGTGTGTGTGTGTGTGTGTATTTTTGGGTTTTTCGCAGTATTGGGAAATAAACTCAAGGCCTTCACACTGAGCTGCATCCTAGCGCTTTAAAAAAATTTTTAATTTTGAGACAGGGTCTCACTAAGTCACTAAGTTGCCCAGTCTGGGGTTGAACTTGTGATCCTCCTGCCTTAGCCTCCCAGAGTGATGGAATTACAGTCATGCACCATCTGGTTAATAGTAATGTCTTAAAAACCACTTATGTAGCCTGGAGGATTTAGCTCAGTGGTTCCACCACCTGCCTCATAAGCGCAGGTCCTGAGTTCGATCCCCAGTACCAAAAGAAATGTATCAAAAACCACTTATGTATTAAAAATGGTACTGTACAAGCGCAAGGACCCGAGTTCAATCCCCGGTACCAAAAAAAAATGGTACTGTAGGGCCAGGGATTTAGCTCAGTGGCGCCAGCACCTGCCTCTCAAGCACAAGGTTCTAAGTTCAATCCCTGGTACCAAAAAAATACGTACTGTAATTTTGTAAGAGAATGTCCTTAGTTTTGGATGTGTGCTAGATTATTTAGAAGTGCCACCTCGGATCAAACAAGGGAAACCATTAGCAGCCACAGAATGTAGTTCAACAGTATGAATGACCAGGTTTTTTTTGTTCTATTCCATGAGCTCTTTAAAAAGGGAATATGCTTATCCAAAGGCTTTATAATTCATCTTTTCCTACACTCTTCATATCATTTTTTTTCAGTACTGGTTACTGAACTCAAGGTCCAGGGCTGAGGATTTAGCTCAGTGGTTCTGGCGCCTGCCTTGCAAGCGCAAGGTCCCAAGTTCGATCCCCAGTACCAAAAAAAAAAAAAAAAATGCTGAACTCAAGGTCTAAAGCAAGCTGAGGAAGTGCTCTATCACTGAGCTATATCTCAAGCCCTTATTTATTTATTTATTTATTTGGTACTGCGGATCGAACTCAGGACCTTACATTTATGAGGCAGGTGCGGTGCCAATGAGTTAAATCCCTGGCCCTTTAAAATTTTGAGACAAGATCTTGCTAAGTTGCACAGGCTGGCCTCAAACTTGTGATCCTCCTACCTCAGCCTCCTGAGTATGTGAGATTACAGGTGTGAGCCACCACACTTGGCTTTTTTCAGGTGAAGTTTCCACTAGATTATTTAGCATTATGCTGTACCAGAAATTTATGTATACAAAGGAACACAAGATGCAGAAGATAATAAAAATTTAACACAATGAGGCTGGAGTTAGATGTCACATATAAAGTAGTATCAAAAGTATTGGCTAATATCTTTGCTTTTTTGAACACAGTAAACTCATAATAATGAAAATGTCAATTTAGGAAGGGGCAAAATTTACTATTTTTATTATAAGTCTTTACAAAGTCTAGCTTTTTAAAGCTAACTCAGGCTACTCTGGACAGAACTGGAAAAGCAAATTAAAGGAATTGAAAATTATCTGGCACTTAATAAGCAAACACACACACACAAATCTTTTGTAATTTTACCCACCCTGCTAGTTGCTATCAAGAGCTTCTCCAAGTATCTCAGCCATTCAAAAATAAACTCAGCCTTCGGAACTTCTCCTAGTTGGCTATACGCATCTTCATTCAGCAATAAGCTATGAGCTAATTCCATTCCTTGCAGCAAATTCTCCTAGCTGGTCCCGATTCTTCTCACTGAACTGGTCAGTATATCTACAAACAAAAATCTGCAAAAGAAGAAAACAACATATTTTAAAAGGAGTGTATGAAGGAAGCAATGAAAACACTAGAAATCTTATATCAAAATGTAAAAACAGCCGGGCATGGTGGTGCACGCTTATAATCCTAGCACTTGGGAGGCTGAGGCCAGAAGTGAGTTCAAGGTCAGACAGGGCTACATAATGAGTTCAAGGCCAGCTTGAACTACATAGCAAGATTCTGTCTCAAAAGAAAAAAAGTAAAAATACAATAATTAAATGTGTACATCTTTTATAACTGGTGTATGGTAAATCTGGGAAAACCTCAATAAGTTATCATTAACACTGACACACGTCTACCTTTGTATTTAGTTGTTTTCCTTTTTTTAGTGGTACCAGAGATCTAACCCAGGGGTATTCTACCACTGAGCTACACCCTCAGCTTGTTACTTTTTGAGAGAGTCTTGCTAAATTGCCCAGGCCAGCCTCAAACTTGCAATCCTCCTGCCTCAGCTTCCCAATTAGCTGAGATTACACATGTGTGCCACCACCACTGCTCCAGCAGACTTCAGTTCAGTGCTTCTTTTTAAAGAGCAGACTAGACAAAGGAGAACAGCACTATTAGCATTACATGTAAAAACTTGCTAAACAGAAAAGATATTCCACTAAAATTGTAGAGATTGTGTTGTTGTTCCTGGGACTGAGCCCAAGGTTTTTTAATTAGCTACATCTCCAGCCCTTTTTTTTATTTTGAGATACAGACTTGCTAAATTGCCCAGGATGAGCTCAAACTTGCAATCTTCTTGCCTCAGCTTCCCAGAGTGCTGAGATTATAGGAAATTCTACAGTTAAGGCCAGATTATTCAGGATTATTTTTTCAGTTTTCTTTCTTTTCCTAAATATCCTTTTACTAAAATGGGTGATAGGTATATATTATAAAATGAACCAATATCCAGATCTCCTACTACAATTCTATTAGTAAAGCTTGCCTCTTTCCTGGGTCTTTGCCTTATCATTACTTGGATATCAAGCCAGAAAGAGAGGGACTTACACTCATTAGTACATATTTCCTAGCCTAATAATGATACTACTTAACAGTTTTAGGCTAAGAATTTAGGAAACAGTTCCATCTCAGCTAGCAGACAGTGTTTTTATCTCTGTGAGTCTTCTTATAAAAGCAAAGCAAACTTTTCTTTTATGGCACTTGGAGGATGTTGTCTAGGAATTTTAACAATGTATAGGGGACTCTTTCGAGTTACAACCAGCTTGACAAACAACTTGGATTATGACCAGAATTTTAGTTTTAATTTATGACCAAAGTCTTGAGTTATGGCCCCAATGCTGGCTGCTTGTGCTTCCAGATGGTCTCAGATACAGATTTAACCCTGGCAAGAACTGTTCTGGAAAGAACAGCACAACATCCTTTCTTATGTGGGGTTGAGAAATCCTGGGCCAATGTCTAAGGACACTGAGATCTGCCTATATACAGGAGAGACTCTGAAGGCTGTGTAGAGGAGCCTGAGTCTTCAACTGATCAATGTGAGTTACAAGTTCGTAAGTCAAGGGTCCATTGTAGATTATATCTGTTATGACCCAGAGCCAATGTGGCTTTAATTTTGCTGTAGCAAATAATCAACAGCAGGTTTTTGTTTGTTTTATTCATCAGTATCTCCTATGAATACTCTAAAGCATTCCAGAACATAAATATATAAATAGTGTCTATATAAAAACATACACATCTATAAGGGCCAGGAATTTAGGTCAGTGGTTCTGCTGCTTGCCTCACAAGCACAAGGTCACGAGTTTGATCCCCAGTACCAAAAATAAACAAATAAATAAATAAATAAAATAAAAACATACACATCTATAAGATGGCATTGTGATTATGGGACATTTCTTCAATTTTTAGGAGTACATGCTCAAATATGTTGCTATAAAGCACTTTTAAGTAACCAATCAACCATAAAATAACTGCAAAATATTAACAGGTGAATGTAATTAGTGAGCATGTGAACAATCATTTTATTAGTCTTCAATTATTTCTGCATTTTAAAAAAGATCACAATAAAAAGTAGAAAGAAATTATTCCATGGATATGTGTATGTGTGTCCATGCGCACATGCTATACTAGGCACTGAACCCAAGGGCTTTGAACTACTGTATCTAGCTTGGATTTTTATTTAAATTTTCAACTCCTGTTTCGTGTCTTATTTGTGTCTTCTGCCTTGGGCTAATCTAGATTATAGGACACTAATCCCAGAGGCCAAGGAACCACTTTCACCAGTGATCCCTATCTTCTCAAATCTCTGCTTTAGATATCTGATCTGGCCCTCAGTGGTTCCGCTGCCTGCCTCGAAAGTGCGAGGACCCGAATTCAATTGCAGGTACCAAAAAATTTTTTTAAAAAGGAACTAGATATCTGATCTGGGTGGTTCCCCTCCCAGGAAGTTCTGTTCATCTATGCCTATGACCTGGCAATGACAGTCCTTTAACAAGAACAAACAAACACAATTTAGATTATTTTTGGAAATGTCACTTTTTTTTTTTGGTACTGAGGATTGAACACAGGACCTTGCGCTTATGAGGCAGGCTCGGTGCCACTGAGCTAAATCCCCGGAAATGTAACTTTTACGAACAGAGAACAGCCAGGGATTTAGCTCAGTGGTGCTGTGCTTGCCCGGCAAACGCAAAATCCTGAGTTTGATCCCTGGTACTGAGAGGAAAAAAAAAGAGAGAAAAGAAAAGAGCTGAGGAAAGAACAGAGAGCAAAACAAGAATGCTGCCATGAAACTCATTTTTACAGAGGCAACATGAATTCTAGTTTCTGGTTGGTTTAAAAAAGCCCTCCTGCTGGCTATGGTGGTGCACACCTAAAATACTACTGCTCAAAGCTGAGGGAGGAGGATCTTCGCCAGCCTGAAATACATAGCTCGAGACCCTGTCTCAAAACAAACATTCTAAAAAATAAAGAAACCCTCTTTTCTTAAATTATTAAAGTGAACTGGCCAGAATATTCACAATTAAGCTAATAAATGCTAGAGAACTAATTTCTGGAAGAAATCTACTAAGTATACAGAAGGTGAAAAGCAAATTTGTACACAATATTTATGATTGTGGAAAAAATAACCTTAGTATCACAGAGAAAATTTCTTATAACCACTAGGGCAAATGAAAACTGTATTGTAAGAATCAAATTACCCTTTCTAGAGGTCATTAGGACTGCTGAAGAGACATTTTTTTCCTTAGGCAGCAGCAACATTGTGGTGTAAAATGATCTATCAAGAAGCAAAATAGCTAATAGAGTGATAATAAATAATTCAATAAATAGCTTCAGATATAAGCAGGGCAAAAAAGCTACCTCTAATACCCTCAATACATTCCTCATATAAATTACTCCTAAAAGAAGCAGCCAATTCACAGTGGAAATCTCACTTCTAAACCCCCAAGTCTAAAGTACAAATGTGCTATCAATGGGATAAGCAAATGCATTTTGCAAATAACAGATACTCTTGCTCTTACCTAGGTCCCACTTCAGGAAGACAGATACAAATGCAGTCTGCTGCAAATTTTAATTACTTACCAGTCCAATTACTTAAATACAGGATGACCAAATATTGCATATTTTTTGTTAATTTTTATAAGAATACAAAAATCTAAAAACAATAATTTTATCAAATTTATTCAATAATTTTTCTGTGTATAGTATATCTTAAAACATTCAATACATAATGCAACATTACAATCTGAACAATAGTATCTAGTCTCTTTCCAAATTACTTTTTTTTTTTTGGTACCAGCGAATCAAACTCAGGACCTTGCACTTGCCAGGCAGGCGTGGTGCCACTGAGCTAAATCCCTGGCTCTCCAAATTCTTTTTGCATTACTGTCTTTCTTTGAACAATACACTTTACACTATGGTGTTGGCCTTTCCTTTTTTTGTGTGGGTAGTATAATTTCAATAAAATGCCTACCCACTAAACAGTGATGGGGAGACATTGATGATGGACATTCTGGTTTGCATTTTGCTATCCTGGATTTTTCAATTATTTGGTCTATTAGACCTAATCTAAATTGTAAATGACTTTTTGAATCCCCTTTTGAACAAATAACGAGTTCCATATTGTCTGGTCTAGAAGGTCCATAAATAATTTATAACACCCAGGCATGGTGGCACATGCCTATAATCCCAGCACTCAAGAGGCTGAGGCAGGAGGAATGCTGAGTTCAAGGCCAGCCTGAATTACATGAGACCATGTCTCAAAAAACAAAATTTTAGGAGCCAGGGATTTAGCTCAGTGGCACCATGCCTGCCTTGCAAGCACAACATCCTAAATTCAATCTCCAATATCCAAAAAAAAAAAAAAATTTTTATAATACTTATTTTCCTAGAGAAAATAGAAAGAAAAAATGGAAACAGAGCTTTTGTACGTAGGGAGGGTAGGGGGCCTGAGAAAATGTGATAAAATAAAATAAAGTAAAACTTTTTCCCCTCACTTTTTGATTACAGGCTAGCTTGTTAGATGTTGGTCAACTCTGTCAACACCACCCATAGAATTATTATAATTACTGACCACTACTGGAATTTTTTAAGTTTCATTTCTTCTTTCAAGTTCTATCATTTCTACATTATGGATAGTTGACAACAAGGAGATGTCTTTTTTTCTTTCCATTTCATAGCACAGACTTTTCTTCTTAGATATGCTAACATTTCTCCCTTCTTCAATTTTTTCTTTTGTAGATCTGTTGGTACTTCCTTCCTATTCAGTCTCAATGTCCCAAATATGTCAGTTTTGTATTGTAAGAGAATATCACTGAGTAACCCCAGCACTCAGGAAGCTGAGGCAGGAGGATTACTACAAGTTCAAGACATAGCAAGACCCTGTCTCAAAAAAAAGAGTTTCACTGAGTTCTGGAGAAGTATAAAAATTCTTTTTTTTTTCTTTCTTTTTTTTGGTACTGGGGATTGAACTTGGGACCTTGTGCTTGCAAGGCAGGCAGCAGAACCACTGAGCTACATCCCCGACCCTGAG